AATGACGTCCAATTGACGTCATATTTATAGGGAATAGGCGCAGTACGGCCTACAGGGCCAATACGGCCGTATTGAAATTTTTGAACTTCAATACGGTCGTATTGGAGTTCAATACGGTCGTATTGAAAGTCAGAAATTTCAATACGCCCGTATTGAGTTCGCAGCGGTCGTATTGAAGTGTCAATACGGTCGTACTGACTTCAGTACGGCCGTATTGAAGCTTCAATACGGCCGTATTAAGTTCAGTACGGCCGTATTGGGCTTTTTCCCTCCACTTCTTTATTTTTAGCTATTCTAAGACCTCTAGACCTCCAGAGAACCCTCCTAGGGCTTTCCAGGAGTCCTTCTGGCTGATTATCCTTCAGTCTTCGAGAGTCTTCAAGCTTTATTTCCGACCCGGACAATTTTAGGGGTCTACAGGGGCATCTGAAGGGGCGCGCCGGGCGTGCAATTACCCACGCCGGGCGCCATATCAGTAGAAGCCCAAAGGTTACCCTAATCTGGTGTGGCGTCGGGCGCTGCCATTTCGTGCCGGGCATAATTAGGGTTAAAAACATGCAGCATTCAATGCACTAGGCTTCGTAGATACGCGCCTGGCGTATTTAAAGCTTAGACCTTCCAGTGATGACCGCGCGGGGCGCATTTATGAGCGCGCCGGGCTTGCCAACCCCTGGAGCCTTTAGCTTTTAATGCGCCCGGCATACCAGTAAATGCGCCAGGCGTGGTCGTTCCAGTGGCTCATTTGAATGATGGGCCAGGTGCAATAGAAATTGTGCCCGGCGTGGGTGTTGGCAGAGGCCAATTTACTCTAGGTGCGTTGGGCGTGGCTATGTCGCATCTATAACTAACTAAGCCTTATTAAACTTATTTGGATTTGGATGATCCAAATCTTTTTATGGCCCATAGGTTTGGACATCTACTTGTTTATACAAGTGGTTTGAACGTCAAAATCAAGTCCAATTTGCCATCCAAGCTACAAATTAAGTTACATGACTTTGATAGTGACATCTCAACTTGTTAAGAATAATAATTAGTTTAGTAGTTATAATTATTAGATTAAGTAGTTAGAGTTAACTCAAGTTAACCCAGGTTATTCTTAAAAAAGGATTAGTTTAGCATGCTCCATAAGCTTTTAGGAAACTAACTAGACTTGTAGACATTTAACTAGAGTTAGTTAGCTTAAGAACAAGATAGCTAACCATGGTTACATTTAATCATTGTTAATTTAACTTGCACCATAAGCCAACTAAACTCTATATATTGTATCTTTATACCTATTTTGTACTAGTTTTGAGCATTTTATTGAATTTGATGAAATTTTCTCTCTCAAAATTCATTCTCTTTGAAATTCTTTCTTTTCTCTTATCCTCTATTGAATATGGTGAGAATTTAAAGAGACTTATCACTCTTCAAGACTGTCGTGTCACTCAAGGGAGATCCTACATTCTCTTGTGTGTTAGAAACGACTTCTAACATCATTGGAAGCCATTGAAGAAGCTTGAAGGATTCCAAAAAGCTAAGGATCCGCCCAAGAAAATTGAAGGAAAATGTACATCAATCTAGTATATCCTAAGATTTCCATTAGTTTAGCTATTTGTTCTTTTGTTTCCAACACAATTTACTCACATTTATAGAATTTCATTTCGATCTTCGCACGCAATCAATTTTGCTAAAATTCTTTGTATTGTATTAATTTCAATTTCTATCAATGAATTTTGATTTTGAAAATGCCCAAGTTTTTACGATGAAATACTTAATTTTTCTTTTAATTTATCGAATTTTCTTTATAGAAGCACTTTAGATTTACTTGCTGAGATGTTTGTTTTGGCTGCAATATAATTAAAATTTTAATTTATAAAACCAAATAACAATAATAATATTTAAAAATAGTATTAAGTTTCAAAAATATTTTTTTTAAAAAAATTCACAAAAAATTACCAGTGATTATTTATTTGTTTGTTTTTTTTTTTTGCATATTATAATCTACAAGAAACTTCCTTACAAATTAAAATTTACAGAAAATTTATCTATAGATTTTAAATTTTCCAAGAAATTTACCTGCAGATTTTATAATTTAGAGGGAATTTACCTACAAATTTTATATCTGCAGGAAGTTTGATGCAAAATTTTGCTATATTTTTTTTAAAAAAAAAGTCACAGATTTTTATGAAAAAAAATTCCCCTCAAAGATGGAGGCACCACTCTATTTAAAATAAGAAACAAACAATAAAGAAACACCAAATAAAACCGAGTGGCTAACGAAGACTATTACAATTCAAAAATAATTAACATGAGGCCAAACACAAGAAGTAAACGTACATAAACATAAACATAAAATTTTAGTCTAATAATTTTGATGACACATCTTATCACAGCTTGACTCATTAAGACTTTAAGACCTAAGTCTCCACAGTTGAGCTGAATTTATTAATATTATTGACGACACTCAAAGGAAATCGTAATTCCAAAACAAAGTAACATAGTACATATGCAGTTATACATCTGCTTCTCCACAGTAAACTTTTCTCCTTGAAACCCAACCCACCTCCGCTTCACTTTCCCTTAGGGACGTCATAATTGTGGCCTCTTGCTGGTTGATCATGGTAAAGGAGGCGTCCATCTAGAAGGTTAATTCCCAAACGACATTGGAATTTGGAACTGAATAATCAGTAACCAATATAAAACATTCAAAAAGAATAAATAATGAATTTAAACCTTAATTAGTTCAATTTTAATTAAAGAGTTGATGATTTAGTGAAAGGATGTTAGTTAGGTGACTTACGTGTGTAGTGAGGCTCTGATATCCAAAGGGGCTGTCTTGCTATTGCGAGATTCATTGATAAGAGAATCACAAATAGCAAAACCATGTTTAAGACAAGATTCTTAAAGCAACTCATCTTAAATGGAAAACAAGTATAGAAAGCCAAAGAGGGTATATATATAGCTATATATATTTAGAGTATAGATTGCTCTGCACTGTGAGAATTGAATGAAGAGTAGAGTAGAACACATACATATATATACAACATAAACACACAGATATCGCTCTCAAACTTTAATGATAATAATTAACAATGTCCCCTGAAATTACGCGTCTTTCTTCTTCTTCTTTTTTTCTTCCTTTTTAGTGAGTTGGGTACGAAACCTCCAATACAGCAAAAAGAAAAAAGACAACAAAAAAAAAAAAAGAGAATGTCCTCTCCAATTCGGCCAAGTAGCTTAAAAAAAGTGACATCAAATAACAATTAAGTGAGCTCCGGGAGTCTTTTGGTTGAAATTCGTTAAATGATTTTTTTTAATATATATTTTAACTCAAATATAATTTTTAACGAGTAAGTAATAAATTATTATGTTTATAATCTATCATTATTATGCAAACTTCTTCAATAACATTAATTTTGATAATAATTAGATATTGTATGAACAAATCAATTAACGAGATCATATCAAAATCCAGTAGGTAAGAAAAAAAATAAAAGAACCACAACTTGATTAAAAGAAAAGAAAAATGGTACAAAGAACATGCACAATATTGTACCCAAAACCATAAGCCATTTAGAGAGACAGGCAGTTTACACCGAGAATTTTGTGTAAAAATGTTTTCTGGCCTTTACTAATGAACTTGTTTCCAGTATTTAATAAAGAAAAATAATTACAATAGACACTTAGTCACACACATATTCAAAGAACTATTCTAAGAAACTCATAATAACCAACACTAACCACTTTGGAGATTTTTATTCAATTGAAAATGAAATCTTTTGAGATATAACTTATCACTTCAATCTACATTTGTCTTTAAATCATATAATTTGTCACTTCAATCTATATTTGTATTTAGATATGTGAGATTTTAAATATTATTTTTTATTGTAAGTATTAATATGAAATAAACAATATTTTTTATGTTAGAATTTTTTGATGTTTTAAATTTATATATTTTAATTTATTGTGTGGTGTTAGTTCTTAAAAATAATAACCTAGATTTAATTAAAATAATAATTTTCAATTTCTAAATCACTTAAATATAAATTATTTAAAGTAGTTATAATATTTCAATTGAAATTTTAGTTTGAATTATATTTCATAGTTGAAAATAAAAGCACCAAAATATTTTAATAGAGTTATTCTATTGATTTCAGCGTTCACATTTAAGAAAGGAAAACATTCTTTTGCCTTGTGTGTATTATATATTGTGAATAGAAGGACATGCAACAGTTTTATCTCGAAGGAAAAAATTTGAAGCTTCAATACACGTGGTAGGAAATACATTGTTGGTACGTCTTGTTTTACGTGGACGGTAACTTCAAATATCGAACGATTAATTAATGAGATACAATGGGAAAAAAAAATTAGGATTTATTTTCCTGTAGTCACGACACTTATAAAAATATGATTTCTTACTTTCTGTAAATATATAGGGTGTACCATGACCTTGACATGTATTATCAAGTTATATGTGGAGTTAGCCTACTAATTATCTATAAGGAACTATGTAACCTTTCTAGTAATCAACCATCAACTTCATATTTTACTTCACATTAACTAAGGACCTAGAAAAATCTCAACAAAATTTACTCCAAGAGTTTCACACCTACTCAAGGAGGGATTTTAATAATTGGTCTCCTTGTCAGAACCTAAAAAATTTCGATCTTGTCCACCACTAGTAGAAAAATAGTCTTTTACGTAACTATTTTCTCGTCGGTCAAAACAAAAATCGACGTAAAAAAGACGCGGTGACATTTTTGTAAATTTTGTGAAATTTTTTACGTCGGACTTAATAGGGTCCGACGTAAAATGTAAAATCTAAGTCAGATGTATCTAATGTCCGACGTAAATTTTACATTTTACGTCGGTTTACGTCAGACCTTATTATATCCGACGTAAAAAAGCTTTCTATATTAAAGTGTAGGCACCTTCTTTAAACGTGCTAAGCTGTGGAAGAGAGGTGCCAGGGGAGTCCATGCTCTCCGCTGAAACAGGGCTTGAAGCCTTTGAAAAACCTTGATGTTTTTTTCTTCATACACACCAACATTGCAGATGGCAACAAGAGAAAGCTTGATCCGTGCCTTTTGGAGCTCCACTCCACCTTTTTCTTGCGGCGCGACTTTGGCTTCCACGACGACGACGAGCCTGTCATTCGGGCTTACGTTTGTGAAAACGGTCACGTTTCCTTTTCCCATGTACACTTAATTACAAGTTCCTTTTTTTTAATGTATTTTTCATTTCCTTTTCCCTTGTCTACTTTCCATCTTTACTACTACTTGTTCTTTTCTTCATTTTTTTAATATTATTATTTGAAATCTTCTGCACCCTCTCGTTTCTTCTGCATCTGGAATGGGCCGTTCAGCAAGGAGAACAACCTGTTCTTCTCTCAATCATTTTGTGTTAATTATCCATCTGGAATGGCCCGTTCTGCAACCAGAACGGGCCGTTCCAGATGGATAATTAACACAAAATGACTGAGAGTAGAACGGGCCATTTTCCTTGCAGAACGGCTCGTTCCAGATGCTTTAAATTTGTGCCATCAGAATTTTACGTCGGTTCTTGGCTTGTCCGACATAAATTTACGTCGGCCATTACAATCGACGTAAATTTACGTCTCCCGCATCGACGTCAGAGGTTTTTCCGACGTAAAATCCCTAAAATATCAGACGTAGAATGTACATTCTATACTAGTGCACAGATGGTTTGGACTTTGTTTTGAAAATCTCACAAGCTTTGGAATGTTCGACAACCTGACTAAACCATCATTGTTGGCGACTTTTGAAAATGTGAGTCACCATCGATATTTTACTCAAAATATAAAAAAAAAGAGCTTTCAAAAATTAATTACAACCTTCATAGCTAGAAGCAGGTTCGGGAGTCGGTTACGTGTGGGAAAAGTATTAGGCACCCCACAATACCCTAACTCGGTACCCTATAATAAATTTAACATAATAACAATTATAATTAAGTCTTTACCCATTTAAGCATACAATAATTTACACTATATATTTACAAGACAAAAACGCTTATTATCTACATGATTATTTATTTATTTATTGCATGGGAATAAGGTTGTGAATAAAGCAAATAAAAAGGAAGAGGAAGAAGATAGAGAATTAAAAACCTCTAAAGCAAGCCTTTATAAAAGAATCTTCAAAAGCTTTACTGTCACTCAGGAATTTACAGAGAGAAGAGGGAAGTCTAATCTAACCAGTGTCCAAGAGTAAGCCCTAGACACACTTATATAGTCACTCATGGATGGGGAACGACCATTCCCAACATCGGAACGACTGTTTCGCGCCTCAAAAAAGCATACAAAATACCTAGTTGGAATGCTCATTCCAAAACTAGGGTTTAGTTCATTTTTACAGTTATGAACGACTATTTCGTGCCGTAATTAGGGTTTTGCATGTTGTGGTGTCTTTTGAGCCTTTTGGGTTCCGTCTCGATCCATTTTTGTGCCTTACTAAGCCGTCAAGGACTGTTCTTCTCGTTCTAGAGGTCTCCCAGCCTTAGTAGGGATGGCCAAGACGAAAATTAGTGTCTACAGTCCTAAAGCACAAAACAAGATTCCCTATATGAGATCTTAAACTTTCAAATAACACCATCTCCTTTAATCCTAAGCTAATTAACATGTTTTAATACTTGCAACATTCTCGACATCAATGCCTTAACATACATCTCCTATAACATTACCCCAGGTCAATGTACATAGAGATCAAATGATACCAATCATACTTAGCATAGTAATGTTAAAGAAATATTATAATAACATATCAATACTTATCCACCATTTTCAATCATATAACTACAACATACTAATGCTCAACTCATAGTTCAATCATACAAAAGAGTAGCATGCCAATGCTTATCCATTTCAACCATACCATAAATAGCACACCAATGCTCATTATCGCCCCTATCATACAACATCTACATATATCATCACATATTGACATATGGAGACCCATCACTCCTCAAACATCATACAACATGGAATAGGCCCAAATACCTTATTCATATTTACCAATTAACTCACAAGTCAATATATAAACATAATATAACTCGTGCCTAATGAAACTTAACTAGCACTTAATTGGTGCCATTGAGGTAGAGGACTCTCTGCCTCAAGCACACCTAATCTCACTCGAACTGCACCAACATGACTGAAGTAAGGAACCCTTAAGACCTCACACTTGGTGTAGCAAAACTCATGCCTGATCTCATATTAGGCAAAGAGTCTTTAGTTGATTCATGCTCGGTGTCACCTTAGTGGTGCCTAGCATCGTCTAGGAAGACAGTCTCTATCTTGATCATGCTTGACGCCACCCAACTAGGGCCCAACGTCACCAAGTCAGAGACTTTCTAATGCTCTCAAGCTTGACACATTTGAACCGCACCTAGGGTGATATAATAATTTTGTGAATACTTATCATGAAAATCCCGCCAATCACCTGAAAATGGATTTCATCTTTGTAAACATGTTCTCTATTTACTGTAAACTTAACAAGAAAAGTGAAATTTTATCAAAGATTTAACAATAAAAAAAAAACACAAAACAACAATGAATAACATGTTATTATGCAACATTTTAAGCGTTTAACACATTCCAATACTCTATTACGAAAACTCATCTTGTGCACATAATGCATGTCACACAACCAAGACTTAGCATGACACATACATATCTTATACACAAATTTTGACCATAAAATAATCACTACATCACTTGTATTCAAATGTAGTAATCTGCCTAGACCTTTGTGTCTAGACTTTTCACATTTTTAGAACTATATCTAGACTTCTTGTGGAAGAACATATGCATAAAGTTTTGATGATGCCTGTCGCCACATGGCAAGCTTTCCCATACACCAATTGAAATGGGGTGAGACCAATTAGAGATTTGGAGGCGGTTCTATAAGCCCATAGAGCTTCATCAAGCTTTGTAGACCAATCCTTCCGTGAAGAAGACACAGTTTTCTCCAGAATCCTCTTGATCTCTCTATTAAAAACCTCAGCTTG